ATATATATATATATATATATATATATATATAACAATTCACAGAGATTCATTGCCTCTAGTGCTACATAACATTTCTTGGATAGGTCTGTAGTGAAATGTATTATAGATATAGACACACAAAAACAGAAAAATTTGTCCTCCAAAACATTATGCACTATTTTCATGGAAAGATATACCAGAAACTTACCGTATATCTTGACCAACAGTGGGAGGCTTAAGGATAGTTATTTTAAGTTCCTTCTGTCCCTATAGAGGAAAATGGAATTAGTAATGTATACTGTATAGTGCATATATCACAACAAAAGTTTATACTTACAGGTTTAACCAGTAATATTTCTAAAATAGAAATAAATGTACTAAAAGCAACACATACACACACATATATATGTGTATCATGGGAATGTGCACACTTTAATATAGTCCACTGACTTACCATGTACAGATGTGTTTTAATTTTGTTTTTTAACATGCAGATTCACAATACAAGTACATACAATATACAAGTTGCCCGAACAGCATAACAACACTAAATACCTATAGATATACATTTGAATAGCTCCAGCCATGAAAACAATTTGAACTCTAATGTTCTAATACTAAAGAGACACCTTAACAGATGTTGGATATACAAGACTATTTAGTGTATGTTATTATTTAGTTCACTTAGTGATCTCATATTTAATGATTATTTAATTCTTACAACAAGAGTGTTAAATTTAAGTATTTTAAAGATAATGGGTTTAACAAATTTCATTACATAACTCAGTAAGAGTCATACATTTTGTGTAGTTCAACTGTTGTAGTATTGTTGATGTCATCTTTCTTGAAACCTCTAAGTTTTTCTCATTATGCAAGTATTGTTACATCATAGCATCTCCTACTTTGTAGAAATTTACAGGCCTCATTTGGCCAAGGTATAGGTGACCAAGCAAGCTCAAGAAGAGAAAGGTTCACTCTGAAAAAAAAAGCTAGTTAGTGAAAGAAAATGTGAAGTTAGTCGGCATGTGAGTGATTAGCAATAATGGGTGATATCTATAGGGTGTTTCACAGCTGTATTGTAACAACAGAGATAGGAAAAATAATCTGTCTTGTCAATTGGGTTCTAAAGTAACTGAACCAGCCTGTGTGGACTTTTGACGAGAAAGAGAGAATTATTTAAAACTCTGGACACAAAAATGGTTTACCAACAAAGTAATGATCCACCATTATGTACATTCAAATTAGGTATAATTCTAATTTCTAATACTGTAACCTTAAATAATGTAGCTATATTCTGTAATAGTTCACAAGGTAAATTTATATTCAGTCTAATGTTATTTAACTTACTTCTATTCTAAAACCATCCACAAACTAAAGTTAAGTACAATTCAATTCCCTAATATTCCATACATGTTACATAAACATGACTGTTTCCATTCAAGTCTAATTTGAAAGTTATGATTTAGATAGTTATGTAGCACTAGTGTTAAATTCAGTTATTTTTAGAAGTGATAGTTTATTGCAAGCTTGTTTACGTAACTATTTATGAATCATATATTCTGTATTTCAACAGTTATGAATTGATGGTTGTTATATTATTGCATCATGTTACTAGGACCTTCTCATTGTTCTGATTAAGTATTATTGCACATAATAAGTGTGTGGCAAGCTCTAGACCTCTGTCGGGGTATAAACACATGTAGAAAATTTAATTTAAAAGATAGATCTAGACTGAGTGATTGGGAGTTTAGCGATAAACAGCGTATAGTGATAATGTTTAAAGTGAAATTATCACAGATTGTATTGTAATAACAGAGCAGAAGGGAATAATTTGTCTTGTCAATTGGGTTCTAAAGTAACTGAACCAGCCTGTGTGGACTTTTGACAAGAAAGAGAGAATTTACTCTGGAAACAAAAATGGTTTACCAACAAAGTAATTTAAGTCAGAGAAAGTTCAGTTAGTGAGAGTGAAATTAGACTGCGTGATTGTTAGTTTAGCTGTAACGAGTGATATACTAAAGTGAGTTTCACAGTTTAATAAAGATAAGGAGAATAATTTGTCTTGTCAAAGGGTGTTGTAAAGAAATTGAACCCATCTATTTGGACTTTGACAAAAAGGAGAGAATTATTTAAAGTTTGAGATACAAATGTGGTAACCCACAGAGTAACATAAGTGAATCTATCTCAGATTGTACAGCAAGAAACAGAGTAGCGAAAAATAGTTCATCTTGTCAAATTGGATTCTGTGTGAACTTTTGACAAGAAAGAGAATTCTTTAGAGTTTAGATACAACTGTGAAATCCTATAGTGTAAAGAATTTTTGTACATACATTTGACTTGTTTTGAATATATTACTTTAAAACAAATGGATTGTGTGCTGTCTTTTTATTGTTCGAATTTATCACCAACACATCACAGACACCTACTGTAAAGAATCCAAGCCCATACACAAAATCCTGACAAAAGACAACTGAAGTTCTACCACATAACAAAATTTAAAAAGACAAAGTTCTCAATGCTAATCCAACAGTTTCAATATACTCAGTGTACTGTGCTGACATATAAAAAAATTGGTTGTAGCAACTTATGCTCAGGATTCTGTGCTTGTCACAACAGCTTAAAACAGATTTGGTATTCTGGTCTATCAAACAATTTACAACAAGTTACATGTATTAACTGAACAATTACAAGATTTTAACATTTTAAAATCTTTTTATGCCAATACAAAATAAAAATATGACTACATAGAACAGTTGAAACACAATCAAGGTTCTATAATAAACACAAAATAGGGCTGTATACAGCAAGTGAAACACTATCAAGGCTCTATAATGAACAGAAAATAGGACTATATACAATAGCTGAAACACAACCAAGGCTCTTTAATAAACACAAAACAAAAAACTAAACTGAAAACAGTTTAAACGGTTGCAATATTTTGTATTAACACACAACAGAAATAAACAGAACAAGTTATAGAGTCATCTTTTTGTGCTAATGTACAAGAAATCTAGCCAAAAAAACGTATACACAGCCTCAGCATTCTCTACTATGAACAACAGAACTGATAACAGAAAGTTACAGGAATTCAGTATCCCATAGAAACATGAAATAAAATTGTTCACAAAATCTTAAATAGATTCAGTATTCTGCACTACTACACAAAAAATTTGGTTATAACAGTTAACTGAAATTACTGTTTTGTGAAAATACAAAACTGATTACATTAGCTCGAACTTGGTATTATCTACTAACATAAATAATACTGATTAACATAACTGATAGAATGTGTACTGCAAATGCAGTTTTGACACTTTTAGATGTCACTCAACTTTTAGAGGAAGATGGTTCATTTTATGAGTGAAAGTGCTAAGACTAGCTGACAAAATCCAGTCCTTGTTTTGCCATACTCTTTTCTACTTTTTGATCTTGTACATTTCAGTCAACTTCATTCTCTTTCAAGCTAAGTTTGTCTTAATTTGTTTTCTATTTAAATATAGTTTGTTTTATATTTTTATCTTTTTCTCAATGCAATAGTCACCAGTATTATGGTCAGCTACTCCATCATTTTTGTTTTGAAATTAAAATATTTTATTATCTTTTTACTTCAATTTTGTTTTGTTTCTTTCATTTCGACTGAAACAAACTGCATATTTTTTCTATGAACCCCTTGCTTTTGTGGAGATTGAGTGATTGTGAGATTAGTTTATCCTTGAATTATTACAAGATCACATGACTTTACCATATATCTTCAGCAGGATAATGTGCCTTCACAGTAGCTTGAGATAAATTTCTGGGACTCCTCTGACATTCAGTGCTTTATCTCTGTAGCTGTATAGACTTAGGAAAAAAAAAAATCAACTATGCTTTCATTTGTACAAGAGGTTTCCATTTACATCATCCCAGAAAACACAAAGCAGCAAATGTCAGAGTAGCTCCAAGATTTAACACAAATATGTTTTGAATACTAAATTCCTGTAAATTGTATGCTGAATGTATGTATATAAAGACAAGATTAATAAAACTTTTTAATTTAAAAAGAGAATAGGGATCATAAAAAAGTACAAAAACAAGTAGAGTCAACTTGCAATGATTATATTTTCAAGCCTATAAATAGGGAGTCTAAAAAAAGTACACAAACAAAATGGAAATAGTATCTACATTATTTTCAGCCTTATTTCTGTACTCTATTTTAAATTAACAATTCTTACTAATCTTGTTTTTCAAGTTTTTTTTATGTCCATTTATGGAGTATAAATTTTAAGCTGCATACATACAATGTGCTCAATTGGATGTTGCATGTTTTTCAAAAGTTTACTGCTGCATTGGCTTTTTTTTCCACCCAACCACGACACTGAACTTATTCAAAATAAATAACAAATGTACAACAATAATTAAATACATGTACTGGTATGAAACTACAACAAACAATATGTGAAGTTGTTCTCAAAGGACCATCTTGAATGCAAAGGTTGTATTATCATATATTTAAATAAGCAGCTTCCATCAGTGTCACAGTGTAATGTAACAAATGACAAGTAGCAACAAAGCAATCTCATGAGAAAGAAATAATCTTTCTTCTAAAATAATACAACACAGATCAATGCAATGTAAGCAGACTCAGTAACATGCTTATCTAGTTAGGTCTACATGACACATATGTATGTTATTCAACAGCCTACTGTGCACAAGTGTTTACTAGAAAAAGGCGACAAATAATACATGCAAAGTAGACAACAGCAACACACTTAGCATAAGCCGCCAATTACTGACAACATTTACAATCACTACCTTAACACCAACTATTCAAAAATAGCAATAGCTACATGACATAGTGCTATATGCAGTGGTAATAAATACTGAATACGCACTCACGATTTCAGCTAAGTATAATAATCAGTATAAAGAATCATCACAATCATTTGAGTAGGGAAATTTCCTACGGTAACTGTTCACTGTTAAAAAGTTGCTGAAACACATAGAGACAGCAGACTCAAGTAATAATGAACAATAGTGATTCGAGTAACGATATGCAACAGCAAAATCAGGGACCTTTCATGTGTTAGTTTCCAATTAATGCACTAGAAAATGCATGATTTGTAATTTCCAACTAATGCACATTCTAGGAAAACATCAGTTTTTGTTTTTTTTATGGTAGAAAGTGAAGGTGAAAAGTTTAACAGCACGACAAGATTATGGAGATCGAATTAAGTTTAAAAGTACTCTCAGTTTTTGCAAAATCCTGTGCAATCCCACACTACAGTAGATATCACTTGTAATAATTTTATAGTGAAATCATAATAAGGATTTGTAGCTTGAGCAAACTGTCATCAGGAAATCTACAGCCTTGTCTACTTACTTTTTTGCGATCCCTATTTGTAGATTTGAAATTCTCAATCTGTAATTATCCTATATGTTGGCTTTGTTAATACACAGAAATGGGCAAGTATATGTCTAGAGTAAGAAACTACCCCACTAAGCATATATAACATCTTACCACTAGAAAACCAGCCTTGTCAAATAAAACAAATATGTCTAATACATCACTTTAAATAAAGCTTCATGTCTTTTAAAGTAATTATTTATGAGCCAGGTGGCTTTGTGCATAAACATGCATTTTGTGCAAAATACCCAGCTGATTTTGCTGTAGGCTTGTGAAACAATAATATTAATAGTATGAACAAATGGGCAAATTTTGATTTTGTCTAACAATCATTAAATTACATATTTCGCTTATTATCAATGTTTGGGCAGTCTTAACTATTGAAAAGGAAGTTTTTGAGTGTTGTTTCAAGAATAAGTCTGCTTTTAAGGTGGTTTTTGCCCAAATTTTCTATTAGTTTTGAGCAAATTCCTGTATGAATTAATTCAAACCACTATCATGGTTCATGATAAACAAATTATGTACCTGAGAGCAGCAGGCCTAAAAAACACTGTACAAGCAGTTTTTGAGTGCCACTAAAAGAGTAATGAACATAATGTCACAAAACAAAAGATTTACTATGAAATCATAAACATGTTTTAGAGGCTTTAAATCTATGCAGTAAGAACTGCAACATCATAACAAAAGAATTACCAAAAAAAAAACACCTTAAAGCAGTTCCTTTTGTTAAAATACAATTGAATTATTATTTAACCAGATGCATTTTTTGTTTCTACACACGCCTTTATATTTCATTGTCAAAAGACAATTTGAGATCATTAGGATAAATATAATTCTCAGCTTTTCATGACTTCAAGAAGAGTAAATTGTAATTTGAAACATGTTTCTTTATTTTAAGTAACTAATCTCAAACTATAACTATGTAAATTTTGAATAATATCAGCTCTCCTCAATCCAATGTTAATACTGGAGAATGTCATCAATGTCTTTAGATTTCCAAGTTAAGTAAATGTAGTTTTTGTTAAATACACACCTTTATGCTCTTTCGTTACAAAAAGAGTTAAGACATTACACTTTTTCTGCTAAATCTAGCAATCAAAACCTTGCAGTGGTGTAAGCTGAAATATAAAAATGAAACAGCTCAGATTAGTTTGCAATAGTTAACACATGTGATACCCTTTACTAACACATCAAATTAACATTAGGTTAACTAAAAGTTTAATATAAAAAGCACTTACATCTTCTGATGTTTCTAAAAGTTCTGTATCTTCAACCTGAACCACAGCATCAGCTCCAGAGGGCACTGCAGCTCCTGTATTTATTCTGATACAGGATCCACTATTAACTATTAGATCATCAGGCTATCAAAACAAACAATTTAAATATATTAAATATGCTTAAATCAGCATAAACACAAGAGGACGCTGCTGCTTTGATAATGAAGTCATATATGTTCTAATTATTTCTCTTTTATTCTACCACAATTTCTTAAAACTGAAAAGTTAAACGATGTATCCAAAATTTAACAAGACTTTTACTTCTAATGATCAACATTTATTAGGTCATCCAGAAATTAATGTTGCATTTTGGAACACTTTCATTACCCACCCTCCAAAAAACTTAGATTACGTATAATAGCTAAACAAACCACCTAAATATCACGTTAGTGCAGCCTATATAATGTGTAAAGTTTAGTATACTCTAATCCTGGCACACGACGAGACACACATTCAGCATGTGATGCTGTTTGAATACAAGAAGAGAAACAATGTCTCTGTAGCCACAAAGAATATCAAAAAAGTTTATGGAAATGTTTGTAAGCATCAACAATGGTTCAGCAAATTTTGATCAGGTGACTTTAGCCTTAAAAACTGTGATGGCAGAGGCAAATATGTTGGAATTCAAATTGAAGCTCTAAAGACACTTGTTGAGTCTAACCAAAGGCAATATACTCGTGAAATGGCCCTAAAATTGCATGTCTCTCATGAAACAATATGTAAACATCTAAGGAATATTGGAAAACTTCATAAAAAAGGTGTTTTCGTGCCTCATGAACTATCTGATGATCACTGTTTCCAACATCTGAATGTTGCTTCTTCTCTTCTGCTGTGGACAAAATTGTCACCAATGATGAAAAATGGATTCTCTATGAAAATATTAAATGCCTAAAACAATGACTCAGTCCTAGACAAAAACCACTTTCGACCCCAAAACCTGGACTCCATCCGCAAAAAGTGATGCTTTGCATTTGGTGGGACATCAAAGGAGTAATTCACTTTGAACTCCTTAATCCACAGCAAACTGTCACAGCAGAGATCTGTAGTCAGCAACTAGAACAGTTAAATCAAGCCCTTTATCAGAAACGCCCTTCACTTGTCAATCGGAAAGGTGTTCTTATTCTCCATGACAATGCATGTTCACATGTGGCTATGTTTGATT